ATCGAGTGCACCCTCCGCTAGTTTGCCAATGCCACCGAGCTGTGTGGGAAGGGATGACACGCTGTAGGGAAGGCATGCCATCCAGAGGGACCTGGACAGGCAGGAGGGGTGGGCCTGTGTGACCATCATGGGGTTCCACAAGGCTAAGTGCGAGGTCCTGCATCCGAGCTGGGGCAATGCCAAGGATAAAGAGAGCTCGGGCAGAGAATGGATTGGGAGCAGCCCAGAGGAGAAGGACCTGGGGGTGGTGGTTGACGAGAAGCTCACCATGAGGCAGCACTGTGTGCTTGCAGCCCAGAAAGCCAACCGTATTCTGGCTGCACCAAAAGCAGTGTGGCCAGCAGGGCTGGGGAGGTGATTGTCCCCCTCTGCTCTGCTCTCGTGAGACCCCACCTGGAGCACTGCGTTCAGCTCTGGGGCCCCCCCAGGAAAAGAAAGACAGGGATGCATTCAAATGAGTCCAGAGGAGGCCACAGAGATGATGAAGGATCCGGAGTACCCTTTCTACAAAGGCAGGCTGAGGGAGTTGGGAACGTTTAGTGTGGAGAAGAGCAGGCTCCGGACAGACCTCATAACAGAGGGTAGGTTTAGATGAGATATAAGGAAGACGTTCTTTACTCTGCGGGCCGTGAGGCGCTGGTACGAGTTGCCCAGAGAAGCTGTGGATGCCCTGTCTCTGGAAGTGTTCAAGGCCAGGTTGGATGAGGCTTTGGGCAACCTGGTCTGATGGGAGGTGTCCCTGATCATGGCAAGACAAAGAGGAGGGGAATTAGATCACAGAATCACAGAATCACATAGGTTGGAAGAGGCCTCAAGATCATCGAGTCCAACCTCTGACCTAACACTAACAAGTCCTCCACTAAACCAGATCCCTAAGCTCTACATCTCAACGTCTTTTAAAGACCTGCGGGGATGGTGACTCCACCACTTCCCTGGGCAGCCCGTTCCAATGCCTCACAACCCTTTCGGTAAAGAAGTTCTTCCTAACATCCAACCTAAACCTCCCCTGGCGCAACTTTAGCCCATTCCCCCTCATCCTGCCACCAGGCACGCGGGAGAACAGACCAACCCCCACCTCACTACAGCCTCCTTTAAGGTACCTGTAGAGAGCGATAAGGTCGCCCCTGAGCCTCCTTTTCTCCAGGCTGAACAAGCCCAGCTCCCTCAGCCGCTCCTCGTAAGACTTGTTTTTCAGGCCCCTCACCAGCTTCGTCACCCTTCTCTGGACTCGCTCGAGCACCTCCATGTCCTTCTTGTAGTGAGGGGCCCAAAACTGAACACAGCACTCGAGGTGCGGCCTCACCAGAGCCAAGTACAGGGGGACGATCACCTCCCTAGCCCTGCTGGCCACACTGCTTCTGGTACAAGCCAGGATGCTGTTGGCCTTCTTGGCCACCTGAGCACACTGCTGGCTCATACTCAGCCGACTATCAACCATCACTCCCAGGTCCTTCTCTGCCTGGCAGCTCTCCAAGCACTCATCTCCCAGCCTGTAGTTCTGCTTGGGGTTATTGCGCCCCAGGGGGATGATCTTTAATATCCCTTCCAACCCAAGATTCTCTGATTCTATGAAGGTGATCTAAATGATTAAAGAATAAATTAGTTATTGGATTGTGTGGCCCATTTCCATAGGAGTTTTAGGGGCAGATCGGTATTCAGGGGTTAATTGATGTTGCCTTTCTAGAAGAATACAGTGTGCTGCGGTGAGTCTAAAAGGTGAGAGTGGCCTCTGGCTGTTTCTATCATAGAATATGTGAGGTGGAAGGGACCCACAAGGATCATTGAGTGCAACTCCTAGTCCCCAAAGGACTACCCCAAAAAAAGATCAAATAAAAGCAGACTGTGTGTCTGAGAGCATTGTCCTAACACTTCTTGAACACCGTCAGGCTTGGTGCTGTGACCACTGTCCTGGGTTAACAGCTTGCTGTCAATCAAAACCTGCAGATTCCTCTCTTTGGGGCTGCTCTCCAGCATCTCGTCCCCCAGTCTGTACATATAGCCAGGATTGCCCCTTCCCAGGTGCGGAATCCGGCTGCTTCCAGCCCCAAGCTTTGCGTCTCCATTTGGTGAAAGGGGTTGCACCCAGATGCCGCCATGGAGACACCACAGGACACAGCCACTTTTCCTGGCAGCTTTTTGTGTTCAGTCCCTGTGGCCCCTTGAACTGGGATGGATGTAGTGCTTGGGTCCCAGCTCAGCTGTGGGCGCTGCTTGGGGTGAGCGCTGAGGTCAGGGTGCGTGCGCTTGCGCTTGACATGGGTTAGCCTGAGGGCACGGAGCCAGCACGCGTGCGTCTGGCTGAGCCCACAGGATGCGCAGAGAGGCCCGTGCTGCTGCTCTTGCACACATCCAAGTCTTGCTGCGTCTCCTCTCCTCGTCTCCAGACCCAGTGGTGTAGCAGCACCCTCGCCAGGGCTTCCCCTGCATCCCGACCCCTAGCCCTCTAGCCCAGGAGTATCACACTGCCAGGCTCATAGCGAAGGACAGCTTTGTACTGAGTCTGCAGGGTGACTGAGGCGAGGCTGGCCAGCCTTCTGCTGCCTCAGCTTTTCCTTGGCCTGCCTGGAGCTGCACTTTCACTTTTCTTGGTGCTTTTGCTGCAGATCAGGTGGCTGCGGCTCTTCTGTTTTGCTTATCCTGGTAGGGTACAGCCGTAGCAGACAGCAGAGAGGTGCATACAGATGGCTGTAAACACTCATTATTCTGTATGGAGAAGATATTTAGGATGCTACCACAAAGCTGGTACAAAGAGCAAAGGGCAAGGCAGAGCTCAGGAAAGCAGAAGCCCAAAAACTGAGGGCAGGCAGTACAGTGAAGAGAAGGCCAGGCCAGCAATAGGGTAGAGGCTGGCCCCGAAAACAAGGGCTGGAAACATCTCACTACGAAGCAGTTACAGAACTGCAGGCCTGCACTGGGCAAAATCAACTTCTGTGTGGGCAGACAAACAAACAAACAAAAAAAAACAAACAACAAAACAACAGACAAATAGCATCTGGCAGAAGTAAGAAGAAACTACAACCAATGTGGCTATAAGGAGGAGCTGCGTTTCAAGGAAAAAGGTTATCTCATCTCAGTTTGTTGAAAATCAAGCAGAATTATATATGGCACTCTCACCAAAAGCAGAAAACAATCTACTCCGCTGTCTACTGTTAGAATGACTACAGAAAGACGGAATGCTTCCCTCATTTGCTTCTCTGGAAGCAGTGGTGCTGATTCCTTCAGCTGCAAATTCCAGCGTTCAGAAATAACTACCCGCTGTGTATGTGGGATCCAGCCCTTTCTCCTTGCTAAGATGTTAAGTGTGACTGTGGCCGAGAGTGCTGTGTGACACCCAGCCTCAGGTGCTGAGCTTCAGGGCATTGTGCGTGCTTCTCCCAGGACCTCAGCCTGAAGAGTCTGGCTTTATTATCTCTCAGACGTTTACAGTGGCAGCACAGGAGAGAGTAGAAGCGATGAGAGGGAGGAGTAGCAGTGTAGGACAAGCTCCCTCCCTTTATTTCCTTCCTTGTTAGCAGCCTGTGAGCAGGGAACCCCTTATCCAGGCCCTGCTCTGATGACCAAACCCCATGTGAGGAATGAGTCCAGCCAGGAACCAGACTCTGTCTAAGAGGTGAAAGAAGACACCTGCACCTTGTAGCACCAGTGCCCTGCCTGGGTTTTAAAAGTGAAAGCAGGGTTGTGCTTTATCCTTAGTCCCTCGTGGCCTGGCCTGCCAGGATCCCTGTGCTGAAGCTGGTCATCACTGCCCACAGCTTGACTTGGTGGCATCAGGCCTGCTCACCAGATTGCCTCTCCCCACACACGTGATACAAAACTCCCTCATACATACCTGTCCACCATTGCCTCCCAGGACCACGATCTGAAACTGGGGTTTTCAGGATGGCTTCTAGCTCCAGGGTGTGTATTTGGTAACAAGACAATACTCACTTCTGCCACCTGATATTCACAGAATCATAGGACCATGGAGCTGCTTTGGCTTGGAGGGGATCTTAAAGATCCCCTGGTTCCAGCCCCCTGCCATTGGCAGGGATACCTCCCACCAGACCAGGTTGCCCAAAGCCCCATCCAGCCTGGCCTTGAACACCTCCACGGATGGGGCATCCACAGCTTCTCTGGGCAGCCTGTGCCAGGGCCTCACCGCCCTCTGAATAAAGAATTTATAGCATCTAATCCAAATCTCCCTTCTTTTAGTTTAAAACCATTCCCCCTTAGAATCACAGAAGGGACCCACAAGGATCACCAAGTCCATCTGCCTTTGTCCAGTCACTGCCTGCCTGAGCATAAAGTTGCTCTCAATCTTTTTTAAAAGCCCCCTTTAAGAACGGAAAAGCTGCAATAAGGTCACCCCTGAGCCTTCTCTTCTCCAGGCTCAACATCCCCAGCTCCCTCAGCCTTTCTTTACAATAGAGGTGCTCCTGCTCTTTGATCATCCTCATGGCTCTTCCTTGGAGACACTCTAACAGACCTGTGTCCTTCTTGTGCTGTGGGCTCCACACCTGGATGCAGCACTCCCAGTGAGGCCTCACAAAGGCAGAGCAGAGGGGGGCAATCCCCTCCCTCCCCTGCTGGCCACGCTGCTTTTGATGTAGCCCAGGAGGCAGCTGGTCTTCTGGGCCGCAAGCACGCACTGCTGGCTCATGTCGAGCTGCTCATCCAACAGAACCCCCAAATCCCTCTCCACAGGGCTGCTGTCAGGGAGTTCCTCTCGTGTCTGGTATTGCTCCGACACAGGTGCAGCACCTGGTGCTTGGACTTGTTGAACCCAGGCACCCCCTGGCACCAAACCTCCCGCTGGGAGCAGCTGCAGAGCTGCAGGCCTGCGGCTGGGCAGCACGCGCTGTCAGGGGGAGCACAGCAGTGGGGCCGGGCACCTGGGGAGAGGAGGGGAGCGCCGAGACGAACACCCCAGCCCTCCTGGCCAAGGGCGGCATCGCCGTGCCCCAACCCCACCAGACCTCACAGCGGGCACGCCAGGAGGTGGTGGGCACAGCAGCAGGAAGAGGGGGAGATGGCAGTAGGGCTGGGGATGGCGACACCAAATACATTGTTAGCTACACTGAGACTTTATATACATATGATTTATTTTCTACATTGTATTTCCTGAGGGCCTTCCGTGTACCCCACCCGCTGGCCCGGCCCTCTTGTGGCCAGCTCCTGGGGCGCTGCCCTAGTGTTGCCGGCGGGGTGGCCTCTTCTTGGCTGCTGGAGAAGAGGCCTGGGAGGTTGGGGCCCTCCTCTTTGGGGCTCGCCGGGGCCCCCTTTGGGGATGGTCCCTGCCCTGGTCTGCTGTGAAGGCTCCAGGCACAGCCTCCTGTGTCTCCTCCTGGGGCGCTTCTTGGTTCCTGGGGACAGGAACCGCGCTGGAGGGGGGCTGGCTGCGACTCCCTTGAAGGGCAGCACTGGAGCCGCCCGCGAGTTCGTCTGTGCTGCCTCGAGCAGCGTTGTTGGAGGGCTCTGGACCAGGACCAGGAGGCCCCTCTCGGGAGGCAGAAGGCCTGGGGCCAGCTGCGGGGCTGCCTGCCTGTCCCATGGCAGCACGGGAGCCCTCCAGGCCCAGCAGGCGGTGGGCCACCCAGCTGCACCGCTGCACGGTGATGCTGATGAGCCGGTGCACAAAGGTGGCTGCGTGCTCCGGCATGGAAAGCTGCAGCAGCTGGACCAGGCGATCTTCATCCAGCCCCAGGAGGCCCACGGCGGAGGTGAGGAGGTCTTCCACCATTTGCGCCTCCGCATGGTCATCCCCATGGATGCGCCTCAGCTCCTGGCGCAGCCAGGGCAGCACGGGATGGATCAGCGTTGGGTGGTCTCGGAAAAGGGAGGCCCAAACTTCAGGCTGGAGGCCTCCCACAAGAGCCGGCCCTGCAGCTGATGGTGGTGCTGCAGGACGGTGACGGGGGTCGGTGGTGGCTGCGCGGCCACGAGCTCTCCCTGCCGGCTGGGTGATGAAGGACGCTTCTGCCGGCGCTGGGATGATGAGCTCCTCAAATTCGTTGTCTGCCCGCACCGAGTGCACGATGGAGCTGACCCTCCTCTTGCAGAGGGGGCACTCGGGCTTGCTCTCCACCCACTGCTGGATGCATCGGAAGCAGAACTGGTGGAGACATGGCATCACGTAGCCCGCATTGTCCCAGGTGTCAAGGCAAATGGGGCAGCGGCTCTCCAGCGCCGTGGCCATGCTCTCCAGCTGCTGCAGTGGGCTGCGTGGAGCAGGGGATGAGGGGCTGCTCCTCCTCACTGCTGCTGCACCAGCAGCTGTCACGCTGCAAAAGGCAGAGAAGAGGCCACGGTCATCGGCTGCTGTGGGGGCAGCTGCAAGAGCTGTGCAGGTCCCCAGAGAAGGAAACCCTTCCAGCTGCCCAGGGCCCAGGGCAAGGTGTCCCCACCGCACTTACCTCTGCTGCTGCGAGCGCTCCTCCTGGGTCTCCCGACGGCCCGAACGACGCAGGGCCGTGGAAGAAGCTCTGATGGCTCTGGGAAGGGCACTGAGAGCTGCTGCAGCAACTCCCAGGGCACGACACCAGCACCAAGGCCAACCTCGCTCCTCACTCCAGACCTCACGCAACCGCTCAGCCGGAGTGCGGGCACTAGCCGGCGCGCTGGGACTCTGCGCCCGCATATGAGCAGCCAGGGCCACGCAGTCACAATCCATTGCTCACAGACGTCACAGTCCATCGCTTGGAGACGCCACCAGCCACCCGTAGGAGGTATCCCAAGAGCCCATCCTCACCTCGGCAGCTCTCTGGCCCCAAATTCTGAGCCTCCCGCAATGCTCGTGTCCACTCCATGCCCCCCAACTTTTGTCTTGTCCGTGGCACTGGTGTTTCCCAGCAGGCCGGGGTCCCTGGCTGTGCCTTCCCAGGGCCCCGTCCCGGTCACCTTGGCTACGCCATGTGTCTTCAAGCACATACAGCAGGAGGGTCCGTTCAGTCACAGCTCGGGCCTGCCTCTCGGGCTGCACCACACAGTCCCTCCAGTCCTGCCCATGCCCCAGCACTGCTGGCCTGCCCTCTGGGCTCCCGTGCTTCCTCCCACGCTGGGTGGAAGTCAGCCCTCTGCTTGCTCCCGGGGACTTTCTCCCGTCTGTCTTTACTCGCTGGGGAGAGCAGGGCTGATGGTGCCCTCTGCTCAGCATCAGGCCTCACCCAGGCACTGCGTCCTTTGTAGGGTCCTGGGCAGGAGAAGGCAACCAGGGCTGGCTCAGCATGGCTCAGAAGAGGTTTAGGGGCACCTAACAGCACGCTCTGGTGCCTTTGGGGAAGGCATCAAGGAAACAGGGCCTGGCTCCTCACAGCAGTGCCTGGTGAGAGAGGGAGGGGCAGTGGCATCAGATGGAACTGGACAGCTTCAGGCTGGATATAAGGGAAACAAAAGCACAAGGATCATTAAGCACCGGAAGGAGTGGCTGTCCGGAAAGGCTGTGGGACCCCTGGGCAGAGAGGATTTCAAGACCTGAGTATGCATGACCCTGAGCCTCCAGGTATAACTTCAGTGCTGACCATGTGCTGAGCCAGTGGGGCTGGAGTACAGACCTCCTCAAGCCCCTTGCAGCAGGCGTGCTTCTGGGCTTTGGTGATTGCTACGAAACATGGAAGGTAGCAGCTGTGTGTGGAAGCTTCTGGAAGGGCTGGCTGAGGAGGCCCCATAAGCACAGCAGGTAGTGGTGGCACCCACACTACAACTTCATTGAGATCACAGCACAGCTGTGTTCAGCTTCTCAGGATGCCCAATCAGGGAAATATAAGCAGATATGACCAGGAAGCAGAAATGACTGTGACTGAAGGAAGAGGAAACTGAGGCCTATTGCTGACTAGAAGCTACATGCTGGAGCAACCGGTGACCCAGCTGAGGAGATGGGAAAACTGTCAGTGAAGCAGAATTATTTTCTGATGATCACAACCACAGGCAGGTTGTCAAGTGTAGAAAAGGCACATCTGTCAACCAGCTCAGAGTCATCCACGTAAAGCCAATCCAGGAGATCTGAAGAGACCTCCAAAGCTTTGGTCTCTTGGCCTTACGTGATTCCGTCCAGACCAGGAGGGTACACTTTGTGCTGCTTGCAGATATGGCACCGGCCAAATATACCGAGGGTAGATTTATATTAGGTATACAAAAGACATTCTTTACTCTGCGGGTGGTAAGGCACCAGAACAAGTTGCCCAGAGAAGCTGTGTATGCCCCACCCCTGGAAGTGTTCAAGGCTAGGTTAGATAGGGCTTTGAGTATCCTGTTCTAGTGGGAGGTGTCCCTGCCCATGGCAGGGGAAGAAGGGGAATTAGGTCCTTTTTAAGGTCCCTTCCAACCCAAACCAATCTATGGTTCTAACATTCTATGAAGGTGATGATACTTCGTAAGATCATCCCCTTCCTAGGGATGTGATGAAGTTATTCATCACTGTAGAGTTTCCAGATGTGAATGGACAGACTCGTAGATAACCCCATCTAGGCACCTTTTGCCTTTGGACCAGATGATCTTTCAAGATATCTTCCACCTCTGGGCTGTTGAACAATCCTATGATCCTGTGATCTTTTTATTCTGGGAGAGTAGGGGAAGGCAGATAGCCTCAGAACACAGTGTCTGTAACTCTGGGAAACAAACAAGAAAACTGTTTCAAACAAGGAAATACTGTATTCTTAAACAGTATTTCCAGTAAAAGATGACTAAGTGCTGCTGGGGTTAATGGCCCAAGGTAAAAATGCTATCAGCTTTCTCAATTTGCCATTAATCTGAAGGAAATGCACTGTGCTCTAATTGCTTAATTAATTAAATGAACCTCGTACTTGAATATCACTGTAGAGATTGTAAGATTCCATTTCAGATGGCTACCAGAAGTAGGTGTTTTAGCAAAGCCTCTTGACAATTACATTAATCTGGTTAATTAACATGCAATTTTATTTTGAACATGGTCAAGAGATTATTTTTAATTTTTGTACCAGCATGAACATGATGGTAGGCCTTTATGGTTCTTGTGGTTCTTAACCGTGTTAATCCAGGAAAACTGATAGTTTACCAGTTGCAGGAGCTGATGCATTAAGAAAACTGAAGAACAGACAAATGAGCAATAACGTCCACACACACATATGCACTTACTGTCTTATGACAAAAAAAAAATTTGAGTGACTAGTACAACTGAGCTGGAATTGCCTCTATCTTGCTCTCTTTTCTGGACTGTCTTGCTCTCTCTTCTCTGGAAAAGAAGTTATGTTGTTCAATAGGATCATTCAGCCTTGCAGTAGAGAGCTGTTGATGTGCAAAGAATCATAAAATATCCTCCGTTGGATGGGACCTACATGGATCACCTCCTGGCTTCATACGGGACTACCTAAAAATTAAATGATATGTCTGAGAGCATTGTCTAAATGCTTCTTGAACTCCAGTAGGCTTGGGACCATGACCACTTCCCTGGGCAGCCTGTTTCAGTGCCTGACCATGCTATCAGTTAGGAAAAGCCTTTCCCTAACCCCCAGCCTGACCCTCCCCTGTCCCAGCTCCATGCCGTTCCCTCGGGTCCTGTCGCTGTCCCCAGAGAGCAGAGCTCAGTGCCTGCCCCTCTGCTCCCCTCATGAGGGAGCTGCAGGCCGCCATGAGGCCTCCCCTCAGCCTGCTCTGCTCGGGGCTGAACAAACCAAGGAACCCTGTTCCTTAAACACCTTCCCCTCCAGGCCCTTCACTATCTTTGTTGCTCTTCTTTGGAGGCTCTGGAATAGTTTTATGTCATATATGTTCTTACATTGTGGTGCCCAAAGTTGCACACAGTATTCGAGGTGAGGCCACACCATAGCAGATCAGAGCAGGACAATCCCTTTCCCTCGACCAGCGAACAGTGCTGTGCCTGATGCATCCCATGGTACAGTTGGCCCTTTTGGCTGCCAGGGTACACTGCTGGCTCATATACATTTCACCATTGACCAAAAGTTCTCAGATCCCTTTCCGTAAGGCTGTTTCCCAGGTTATCATCCCCCAGTCTGTAAATATAGCCAGGATTATCCTGTCTCTGGTACAGAATCCAGCATTTCCTCTTGTAAAATTTCTTACTATTGGTGATTGCTCAGCCCTCTAATCTATGAAGATCTCTCTGCAAGACCTCTTTACCCTCAAGGAATTCAGCAGCTCCTACAAATTTATTATCATCAGCAAACTTCCTTGGTGTGCATTTCACTCCTGTGTCATGATCATTTCCAAAAGCATTAAAGAGGACTGGCCCTAAAATTGAGCCCTGAAATTGAGCCCTAAAAATCTGCATAATTTCTGTATCACAGCTACATGACTTCCTCATAACAGCTGCATCACATCTGCAATGACTGGCAGTGAACATGAAATACAAGGACTCCAAAAGATCAAAGAACTTGTACTTGACAGACCTTACTGTGGAGAACTGCTTCACTGTTTCAAGCACCATAACACAGAAAGTTTACAGTGTCTGCAAAAAGGCTGTCCTTTTACCTTGTCCTCAACATGATTGTGGATATCTTGCCAACTCCTGCAGATTCCTTAGCTATCCTCGTGTCACTGTTCCAGGGGACATGGGATAGGAATGAAGAAAAGACTAGAGATTGAATTGGCTGAGGAAATAAACCCCATACCCATCTTCCCTGTAGTGTCTCAGAGCCTGGTGCTATACCAGGATGGTCTCCCTTAAGCAGAGTTAAGAAAATACAAAAGGCAGAGCAGAGCTGTATTTACCTCTATTAACACAATAAAAATGTCAGCCAAAGGCTTTCTGAGTGATCTTGGATGTAAGAAAATACAAGGGAAGGGATTTCACTGGAAGCAGTATCTTGCTGACAGCCAAGCACTGGGGTCCTGGAGCAGATCTTTGCATGGTGCTGGTGGTCATTCTTGTTGTAAACTTCACAACTGAAATATGGATGACGGGATTTATTTATTTTTTTTGGCACACTCTCCAGTAGTAACTGCCAGACCTTGCAGGGAAACTACTGCCATATTGAAAGTAGAATGAACCTTGCATGTAAAGAAAGTGCAGTTATTGACATCCAGATCTTGTTTGCTTGAAGACTAAACTAAGGTGCTACAGGAACACAGCATATTTAAGTGGTCTTTGGTATTGACGATCCCTTGGAGTACTGCCATAGTGAAATGGGGTTTGACATAAATGAAAACATTGATAGCCTGCCAAGTAAGCTATGAATAAAATTGACCACTTTGGATTTAGAGTGGCTAAATTAGACAGATGTCATCTTACAGCTGGAAAAGGTAAAATTAAATCTAATGGGACCCTCTTTAAGCTCCCTTTTTGGTTTTAGAATTTTATTTTTTAAGTGTTACCAGATCTTTCCTTCTTCAAGTAAGAAATAAGGATGATAGAAATATTAAATATGAGCTTCTATGGTATAGATGTGTGAAATAAAATTTAAACAGCTGATTGTTGGAGGACTACTTAAATGTCATATGGTTAGTACTTTGTTTTCTGTATGCAGAAGTCATGGGGCCACATTTTGTGTTGATATGCACAGCTGAGTGATAAAAACTTTACAATGAGACTTGAATTTTAGCTGGCATTGATGAGAAAGCCCCACAAATACAGAATATTTAAGAGGATGAAGGCATGAAATGAGTATTGAGGCACTTTGAAATAGATGATGTCAAACTCAAGTGTTGGCGACAGATTTACAGATGGCTTTACATGGTCCTTATTTGTGTCTGGAAGATTTGCTCTAGCAGATGAAAGGAACAAGCAGCAAATGCAGGTGGGATCTTAAACTATGCTCTTCTGCACCTAATAAATCCTTTTGTCTTACACATGGGTCTCAGAGCCTTGACAATATCCATTTCCAGGATGGTGTTTTCTGAATATGGATGTGCCACTGAAGCACTTTTCTGAAGACTAGGCTGTAGACTCCTTGAACAGTAAAGTCAGGGTTCTGAGTCCACCAGCAGCCTCTACTTGCCACATTAGCCTGCCACTGTCTTCCTCTGCAATCTTCCCATCTTTTACAAGGAAGATGACTACCTGTAGCCACAACTGTTAATGTGAGGCACTGGGGAGAAACTGTGAAAAATCAGCTATTTCTAAACTTGTTGTTGGGAATCCCCTCTCTTGCTCTTGTTCCAATGCCTTACCACTTGCAGAGTAAAGAACGTCTTCCGTATATGCAAACTAACTCTACCCTAAAAATGGGTAGATATAAAATTTCATTAGATTTATGATATTTGAAAAGATTTAAGTCATTAAACCTTGTCACACTCTTCTCTGCCTTTGCGTTCATCTGGGCTTTTATTTCCCTGATTGGGCATCCTGAGAAGCTGAACACAGCTGTGCTGTGATCTCAATGAAGTTGTAGTGTGGGTGCCACCACTACCTGCTGTGCTTATGGGGCCTCCTCAGCCAGCCCTTCCAGAAGCTTCCACACACAGCTGCTACCTTCCATGTTTCGTAGCAATCACCAAAGCCCAGAAGCACGCCTGCTGCAAGGGGCTTGAGGAGGTCTGTACTCCAGCCCCACTGGCTCAGCACATGGTCAGCACTGAAGTTATACCTGGAGGCTCAGGGTCATGCATACTCAGGTCTTGAAATCCTCTCTGCCCAGGGGTCCCACAGCCTTTCCGGACAGCCACTCCTTCCGGTGCTTAATGATCCTTGTGCTTTTGTTTCCCTTATATCCAGCCTG